ACTACACAAAAACATTGTTCCACATCCTACTCTGGCAAACAGCAACTGAGATCTTAAAAGCTTGCAAGCGGCCATCTAGATGCAACGATAGGTCTCTCCTTGTTCAGAGTAAAGAAGAATGAAGAAAATCAAAGAGTCATGGAAACAATTAGTCCAAAGGACTGGTATACCATGCGATGCTCAGCCTATATGACTATGACACCAGAAGAACTAGATGGTGCCCAGCCACCACTGTCAACCACTCAGGGTGGAGTGGAAGGGTTATATGAAAGTAACACGAAAGTCCCAAATAAACAATCTTTAAAAATACTCCAGAGGAGGGCTCTATGTAGGAGATCCTGGATAGAAAGGGAGAACAATATGGAGCAAAACTCAAAATCATCAAAAAAAAAAAGTGGGGGAGGGACACCAGGTTTGCTGGTCTGATAGAGCCTGGTGTAACCACTAAGACTATGGCCCTTAGCTGCCCTTAAGGTCTGGAATTGAACCCACTCCTGTGGCTTCCAGCCAAACAAAAGACAGCTATATGAGCTGAACATTTACATTAGGTAGATACACTCCTTGGAGAGTTCAATCATGGGAAAACAGAAGAACTGTATGCACAGAGAGACAGCTGGGTGGGGCAGGAGTGCATGGGAGGGAAGGACACAGGGAAGAGGTGGCTATGGGGAAGAAGTGGGAGGAGAGCTGTTGCACTGTGGAGATTGCAGTCGAAGTCATGGGACAGAGTATATGTGAACTGCTGTATGGAAGATGAATTTGCTCTGCAAACTTTCACCCAAATCACAATAAATTAAAAAAAAAAAAAGACTTGCCTAAAAATAAAATTGGGTATGCCAAAAAAAAAAAACCCTAAAATCACATGACCAGCTGTAGATATTAACACACTATGAATATTTCTCCCAAATTGTTATGAATACTTATATGAATATATATTATTGTTGTTATGTGCCATCGAGTCAGACCCGATTCACAGCGATCCCTCCTTGGGTTTCCGAGGTGATATCACTACGGAAGTAGATTGCCCAACCTTCCTTCCGAGGAGTGGCTGATGGGTCTGAACTGCCAGCCCTCTGATTAGCAGTCAAACCATATTAGTAATATTAACTTTATATCTCAGTATTTAAGTTCTAGAATATTAAAAGGGAAGCATAAACCAGCTAAGAGAAGACTAAATATCACTCAAAGTTTGTTGTTTTTTTTAATAAAGAATTCTGTATTTTATTCTGGGATTAGTATATCATATTTGAGATAACTGCATCAGGCTAGACAGAAGGATGACTGTTGCTTTATTTGGAGATTAAATATTGTTTAAAGAGATCTGCAAAGGTAACAAAGTATGGGCGGTGGTCACTTTTATCAATTTGGGTAGTCTGAACTTTTACTATCAATTCTTATATGTATACTGCATCATTATGATGTTAAAATGTTCACAATAATTCACTGCAGGAAGAAAATAAGGAAAGTGATTCATGCCTTTTCAAAATTGATTTATGATTATAAAAACTCAAAGACTAAAATTCCAACTAGGAATTATTTTCAAGAGTGGAACCAAAGTCTGCTTGGCTAAGACAAAGAAGTGCAAATAACAGTGTATCAAAAGAACATAATTAAAACTGTGATAATGATCTTCATCTTATGCATTCATACAAGGCAAATTATTATATTACCTAGCTCTTTTACAAATAATTAAAAGTCTCACAGTTCTTGAAGAACTAGTATCACTATCACCTAGCTTGTTAAAAAGAACCCTAACTTTCAAGTATTAACTTTCTGAAGTGGCTAAAAAGACATCCATGTTTCTGTTATTTATATAACTACCTGGTAAGTATACAACCAAATCAACAGTCCTTTGATACCCTGACTACAGATTATCAAATAACCATTAAGTTTAAATTTAAGATGAAAGAAGAATCTTAAATGAAACATAGCCTACTATAGCAACTCTCAGTTGACATACTCTGTTTCTAAAAAATTGTTTCCCTATTAAGTCATATACAACTAGTCATTTTGGTCTTTGCCAACCAAGCAAGCCCATTAAGGGGCAATGTGACCAATTAAAAAAAAAAAAAAAAAAAAGACAATAATGATAAGAAACGAAAGACTGTGATTTTTTTTTAAATATCATTGTTGCAAAATCAAAACAACAGCATTAAAGAGAACAATAAAAAAATCTGAATTTTCTAGACAATTTAGTATATAGCACTGAAAAGGAGATTTTGGAGTTCTATGCACTTTAAATCTCAAAATGTGACTGTAGACAACAAATACTTATTGATTGTGTTATATGTCAATGACTATGCTAGAAAGTTAGGATATAATGGTGATCAAAAGCACGTATGATTCCAATGACAGAATACTAAGAAAGATAGACACTGGCCAAAGGATTGCTCAAAGAACCGTCACGTTGGAGCTGTGTGGAAATCTGAAATCCTAACAGGCAAATTAACCCAGTAAGAGAGGATAAGAAATAAAATAAAATAAAAAAAGTTTCCTGAAAGAGTAATGATAAAGGTGAAATCTGTATGAAAACGAATAATCCACTAGATGGAATGGGTAAAGATGGCAAAGAACAGAAACAACATGTGAAAGAGTCTGTGGCAGGAGGAAACACAGCACATTTGAACAATCAAAGGCAGTGTGGCTAGAGCAGAGGAAACAAAAGAGAGCGTGATGATTTGAGATGAAGCTGGAGAGGCAGAGAGACCAGACCACTCAAGGCCTTCTTAGGCCATGTTAAAGAATCTGACGTTTAACTTAATAGCAACCAAATGCCATCTAAAATGTTTTGCGGGACTAATATGAACAGAAAGACATTTTGAAAAAAGTTACTCTGGCTTCAGTGAGGTATAGTAAAGACAAAATTTGAAGGAGATAAGAAGCAATGCCAGGAAGCCAGTTAGGAGGCATCTTCATAAACCAAGTAAGAAATAATGGTAGCTTGAAGAGTATGATAGCAATGAGAATAAAGAGAAGTATATTGCTTAAGGGCAGTTGGGAAGTCAAGACTGGTGACAGATTTGATCTGGACAACAAGGGGAAAGAATGACTTCTAGTTTTCTGACCTAAGTCAGATGTAAACTGGAAATGAACCAGGTTTGGGAAAAGGATATATGATCATGGGCAAGTTACTATATATCACTGAGTACCAGCTTTTGTTTATTAAATGGAGCTATAAAGCTATAAGGAGCTCTGGTGGCATAATGCCTAAGGCACTTGACTGCTAACCAGAAGGCTGGCAGTTCAAACCCACTAGCCACTCCTCAAAAGGAAGGCTGGGCAATCTACTTCCCTAGTGATACTGCCTCAGAAACCCAAGGAGGGGTCGCTATGAGTAGGGTCCAACTTGACGGCATAAACAACAACAACAACAAATACACATACATACACAAACAAACACACACAAAAAAAACCAAACCAAACTCACTACTTACAATGCTAACAAAATTACTGAGGAAAGATGTATACAAAACTCATGAAGATGTGCCTGGGTTTATGTTGCCAAAAATACACTGACATCTTAAATTTTAAATGGACAAGTTTATATTTAAAGAATGTTGGAGTCAAGTGGATGTATTTTAATAAAGAGCAAAGCACACACAACTGATTATTCCCAAATACCAAAAAATGACACATGAAAACTGCCCAAAGACAATAATTAATTGTCAGAAATCAATAGGCATCTATTAACATGAATCATTTGAAAGGCAGTACTGTTTAATGAGAAAAGCTGGACTGGGAATAGCAGTAGAAACTTCTGGTACTAGCTTTTGTAACTCTTGAGCTGTGAGAATGTAGAGAAGTTATTTAGTCTTGTATAAGCCAAGTTCTTCTTTAAAAAAAATTATTTGCCTATTATCATCTAGAAAATCATAAATACACTGTCATTCACATTCCAAGATATATACTTATTATATATATAATATCATTAATTATGTAGAACATATTAAGAAAAATACAGAAAGGATAAAAATAATAATTTCATTATCTAAGTAGAATCAAGTTTATATTTAGCATGATATGCCTTTCTCAAGCTGGTTTTAAGAAAGAGACACTTAGAAATTTAATGTTAAATAAACTGAAAATGAACATAATCTGAACTTCAGAATTCTAAGAAAAGGATGGACAATATAAGCAAATAAATGACAGAAGGAAATAGGACTGTGTTTCCTCACAGAAAAAAAACCTACTGCCATCAAGTTGATTCTACCATATAGCGACCTTATGGGACAAAGTAGAACTGCCCCAAAGGGTTTCCAAGGCTGTAAATCTTTACTGAAACAGACTGCCACATCTGTGGCTGATAGGTTCAAACTGCCGACCTTCTGGTTTGCAGCTGAGTACTTTAACCACTGTGCCACCAGGAGGCCAGCAGTAGCATATTACCAATCATTAAACTCTGGCCTAAAAATTTGCCTTAAATTAAATGTCAGATTAAATCTATAATGAATGTTTATAGACTACAGGCATAACTCAGTGATATTGCAGATTCCTTCCAGACCTCTGCCATAAAGGAAGTATTGCAATAAAATGAGTCACATGACTTTTTTGGTTTCCTAGTGCATACAAAAGTTACGTTTATACTATATTGTAGTTTATTAAGTCTGGAACAGCATTTGAAAAGTTTGACGTATTGTGAGAATTGCCAAAACGTGACACAAAGAGACATGCTATTGGAAAAATGGCACAAAAGACTTGCTCCACACAAGGTTGCCACAAACCTCCAGTTCGTAAAATACACAGTATCTGCAAAGTGAAATAAAGTGAAGTGCAATAAAACAAGGTATACCTACCTGTATATTAAACAACTAGTTTTCATATTTAAAAACAAAATGTATATTTCACAATAAAATCAATTACAAAATGTTTGTTTGTAATATTTCTTACAAAAAAATTAAGTTAATCAAAGTTACGAAGAACCAGTTCTCTACAAGTAAATCACTGCTAGATAGAATAACCAGCTTCTCAAACTTCAAAGGTACCCTAGGAATACATCTTACCTTAGATGCCATACTCATAAAAAGTTTGTTTTGATCTCCTGCTGTTCCCATCTTTTCATTTTTGACTAAATCACTTAGGCTTAGATCATCATCATCATGGAAGTATCTGATCCTTTGCTTTCCCTCATGGGTTAAAGCCTATGACAAAATACACATTATTGATTTGTGAAGACATACAATCTGAAGTATTTTTACCAGATTACCTTTAAATTTAATATTAAAGGTAAAAACCCCACTAATCTATCCTTCCAGCTTATCCCTATTCCACATGCTTCCATGTGGAGTGACACATCTTACTTTGTCTGCCCCTTTCCTCTCGTCTTCCCCAGGAATGGAAGCATGACTCTGTTGATACCTGATTGATTACTTTTGGTGAAAAAGAACTGCTCTCTCTCTTCTTCTCTCCTCTCTGCTGTGTTCTACCTCACAGTAAAAACTCCCTATCACTGTGGAGCAAAACCTCAGGTTATCTAGAGATGTAATGAGTATATGCAACACAGAGGAACAGTATTAGCAAGCCCACTTATAATTATTAAGGCTCTGCTCTCCAAATAGCTTTATCTTAAATAAATTCCAATCCTCATATAACACTATCCTCGGTCTTCCTATAGGTGGGTTCGGTTCTATATCCAAGTGTGAAAGAGAAAAGTACGATTTATTTCTTCCCAAATCAAATGTCCTCAGTTGTTGTTTCCATATTCCCTTATCCAAATAAAACCCAGTCTTCAACTTCTTTGAGATCTTTGAAAACATGTTCCCAATCTTTTTTTCCCAACATTACAGTTCCTGTCTTCACTGGCCTAAATCTCATTTCCATGACTTTAATAACTGCCTGACTCCAGATCTTCAATTTCTGGCCCTTTCATCCTTTTACTATACTCAGAGAGCAAACCTCAATCTTAAATGAATGTATCTATACTCTTCACTTTTATGCCTAGACTGCCTGGTAATATTAATTCAAAAAGGGCATTCAATACCCTCTGGCAATGTGTCTATAGATCCCTAGTCAGTTTTTTCTGTCATTTCCCATAGTTAACTATTCAAGCCTTCACTATTCTCCTGCCTCACCTCTCCTCTAACCTCCTAACTCCTCCCATTACATGAGAACAAGTATCTATCCCACTGTCTGTTTGTTGAATGAATAAATCGGCATCTCTAGCAGCACAGGCACTCAGTAGAAAAATAATAAACACTCAACAGAAAAATTCTGAGTGAATAAATCTTTTGTGTACTCATTTGTATGAGCTTTCTAATTTATAACAAAAATCTAACTTGGGAAAACTTCTTAAGTTGTTTTTGCCATTTCAAGAACCTTAAGTGCTAAAAACTAACTTCAAGAGCTGGAAGATAGAAAATAAAATTCAGTTAGTAAAGGATCACAGCACTTACATAATTAAGACTTAAGACAGCACCATGTATGTTTACCCCATCACTAGGTCTCAGATTACCTGTCTAGTACAGATAACACATTTGGGAAACTAAAGTTTTCCCTAAGAGCTATGATAAGTATGCAAGAAGCAGCTTACGCATAAATACTGTCCAAGAAATATATACTAAAATTAAAATTGCCTTAACATTCAAAATTCCCAATTGTTTTAAAAAGTAGTTGAATTTTGATCAAAGATTTGTTAGCAGAATCCTGATCAAAAGGGGGAAAATGCAGAACAGAATTTCAAATTTTATTAGACTCCAGACTTCCTGGAGACATCAAGGTTAGAAGGACCCTGAAACTACTACCCTGAGATAAACTTTAAACCAAAAATATCCTCTGAAATCTTCTTAAAACTAAACAATGGTTTAACTTAACTAATTAAAAATGTCTGCCTTCTGCTTGGTCACAGCCAGCTACCCAGAGCAACTGAGTAGTTGATCCTGTGGGCTTGGGACCATAGTCACAGGGGACATCAAGCTCAATTGGCATAACATACTA